GAAGCAACGTCCTCCACAACTAGACTGAAGAACAAAATGACAGCAACTTGTCTGTTCCCCTTCCCCCAATTCCTCAGTGCTGTTCCCATCCCCCAATTCCCCAATAAAAATCTTTAAAAAATAAAAAAATAAAAAATAAATAAATAAAAATGGATCCCTAGACCAATAATCCTTTAGTTTATCTTTCCTGACTTGCCCCATTAGAATAATTATTTTAAAAAATGTTTTCATTTCTGCTACAGTGAGACATCTGACCATTTCAACCCCTTAGAACCAGTAACATACTTTTCCTGATTTTGTAAGTAATACAGATTCATTTCCTCACACAACATAACAAAGAATCTGTCTCCAAGAAAGAGAACTGTTACTTGTGATACTTTCATCAGGTTATAGGGAATTAGTTTCACCCCTGGTTTTCTGGTAAATGGCCCTAAATTTGGTGTTTTATCTGTTTTTACTCATGTGGAAATCGCCGAATCTAGTGTGTCATCATCATCGTCACTTCCATTTGCACTTTGTTCACTGTCACTGTAACTCGGTAAAGGATGCACAATTTTGTTTTGCCTATTTCCAATAATAGAAGAGTCACTGTCATTTTCACTGTCACTATCAGCGTTGTCAGGAACATCAGATAATGTGTCCGCCAACAATTCCCCTGAAATTTCATCTTCTGTAAGATATTTTTTCCCATAAGAACTACATCTTTCCGTCATGGGTATAAGGTGATTGAAATCTGAATGCTGACTAAATGCAGAGTAGAGCAACAGAGGAAAATACAGAGCTGTTTGTTCTCTTTATTTATCATAGATCTTTAACTCGGAGTGAGGTCATGTTTCTATAAACATTCGTCAGCAGGACCATTCGGAGAAAGGCTCCATGTATTGCGTAGTTAAGTGTATAGTGGAAACCAAGCATGTGTTAAAAATGCAGATTTGGGTCATCCGTCTTGCACAGTTGTAATGTACAGACAAATCTGCGTCACCGGTCCACAATGTGTTAACATTGTATTAGGGAGTTTACAATGTATGTAGGTTGTAATACAAATGACAACTATAAAGGATGCTGGGGAAGGGGTAATTGGGAACTGTGCAATTGCAATGTTCTTATATTTTTATATAAGATGGGAACCAGAATAAGTAGAATAAGAAAAGTTAGGGCTGTATATTGTAATTCCTTAGAATAGGAGTCAGCAAACTTTTTCTTAAACAGTCAGGTAGTAAATAATTTAAGCTTTGAAGGCTAAAGTAAAACTGAGGATATTACATACCGTATTTCCCCATGTATAAGATGTAGGATGTAAGATGCACCCTTGTTCAAAAAATCTGGGGTCTAAAAACTGGGTGAGTCTTATACAGTGGTTGTAGATTTTTTTTTTACTTGCATTTCCCGCTTTTTTCGCGCTTGTTTTTGCGCTCATACAACCACTGTATAAGATGCACCCAGTTTTTAGACCCCAAATTTTTCGAAAAAGGGTGTGTCTTATGCGTGGGGAAATACGTTGGGTACTTATGTAACCATTTAAAAATCTAAAAACTATTCTTGGCTCATGGTTTTTCAAGAATTCCAATTCAATTTATGAACTGGATTTTTAGACTTCCTCCTTCCTCCTGGGCTTGCCTTTTTTCTTTAGCTCACTTAGTTCCCCCCCCCCCACATTCTTGCTTGATCTTTTTTTAAAAACCATAACAAGAGAAAGTAGCCCATGAATGTGAAAGAGAACTGAGTGAGGTAGAGGGCAAACACAGTGGGAAGAAGAAAGGCTTCCAGTGGAGGAAGACACACCAGGAAAGCTGCTTCACATTTGAGGACGAAGGTCTGGAAGGGAAGCCTGCCAGGCAATCCAAACAGCAACCCAGGAGCTGAGGAGAAAGGTTTCCCTCTCAAGCACCTGAGCAGTGTCTCCTCTCTCATACCCCTGAGCTGCCTGCAGCTCTGTGCTCCACTTACCTAGTGTTCCCCACTCACCTGGACAGGTGGCTGGTAGGCATTTTCTCTCCTCTCTCCAGGTTTCCTTCCCTTGCTCCAGCTGGGTGATGAGCTTTGGTTTAGAAAATGGAATTCCTGCTCACAGGAAAAGAAAACAAGGTGGCTGCAGGTTATGGGCTCAAGGGCCAAGTCAGAAAGCAAGATAGCTGCTTCAAGCACATCCTAAAGTATACAGCAGCAAGAATAAGAGTCCTAAGAGGTGCCAGGCTTACCCAGCGAGACCAAGTTGCTGTAGTTTTCTAGCATCACCTCCCTGTACAGGGACCTCTGAGCAGGGCTCAGCAGCATCCACTCCTCTTGGGTGAAATCCACAGCCACATCTCTGAATGCCATGTGTGCCTGTAACACAAAACACAGACCTGTTCACTGAGGAGCCAGTCTGGTCCATGGCTCAGGGTGAAGGGTAGGGAGAAGACTGCCCTGGGGCAGGCAAGAGAGATATCTAGGGCCGGCTGAGTGACGCGATGGTTAAGAACTGGCTTGGGACGCCAGAGGGCCCTGGTTCGGATCCCACATATGAGGGCCAGTGACACTGCCCTCTACAGCTAAGATGCTG